TAAAAGTAGCAAGCAGGATAGAACAAGTTGTTACCTTTAACAGAGCTGTTTAGTTAGTAGCGGCTGCCATCAACTCGTTGCCGCTACCTGTGAAATTAGCAGACGTTAAAGAGTCACAACTACTTACTAAAAGTAGTGACAGGTACTTTGGCAAGCAGGGGCTGTGTGGGAAAAAGTAGCAACATGTAATGATTTGTCAGGAAAGTGTAGGATTCTGCCGTAAAGGTACCCAATTTCCACATGTAGGCTGATTAGCCTATCTAAGAAATCACTTTCCTCATTGCTAGTTTGTGTTTCTCTAAAGAAGTTTTCAAATCTCTCTGAAGGTTTTCTATGCCAGTGTGTAACTGAATAGATACAGACACTAGTAAATGTGCGGCCGGTGCAAGACTATTTTGCGACCTAAGCAAGACCAGCTACTTGCCCCCCCCCCCCCAAACAAAAATCGGCAACTTTGTGTGTCACTTTCTCCCCCATCACCTGTATGTCTCTTTGATCCCCCCTATCCCCTCTGTGTGTATCTTCCTCCCCCCATAGTCCTTGTGTGCTCCTTTCTCCCCCTACCAGCCCCTGTGTGCCTCTTTCTTTCCCACTAACCCCTGTGTTCCTGTTTCTCCCCCCTAGCCCTGTGCCAGCTCACCTCCCTCCTCCTTGTAGCATAGCTAAACCGCAAACTGCAGTAGAAGAGCTCCTGTAATCTTTTCCCAGTCTGACAGGAAGCGGTTTGGTGCTCTCAGTGAATACTTCCTGTCAGATGGAGTAGAGGTTACAGAAGCTCCACTACCATGGTCCACAGCTAGACCAGGCTACATGCTGTGACCAGCAGGAGGGGAGCCCTGTGCTGTGTACTCCCTCTCCTGCTGTTCACCTAGAGACTGCCTCCCCCAGGCCAGTGCACCCTAGGTGACCGCTTAATCTGCCTAGCTGTCACACAGCCCAGAGTAAATGGTATTTTTGTGTAACGTTTGCCCAGAGCTAACAAAAAAATATAAATATAACAATAAAAGGTATCTGGATAAAAACAAAGTCACTTTATTGTTGTAACAAACACAAAATTAATAAAACAATCCACAATACATTTTGCCTAATCTATAACTTTCTCAATTGATTTACAGAGTCCCTAGTAAACAGGAATATATAGAGGAAAACACAAAACATAAACAAACTGACGTCAAGATCATATAACCGCAAACGCAATCACATGACCATGTGAGTAGAAACTATGTGTACATACAGTATTTCAAATAAGATTGTTTGTAACATAAGGCCATTGAATAAAAGGCATAAATGTATGTCAACCAAATGGAAAAATTTCTAGCAGCAATATTACTAGATTAGAAAGGATTGAGTCCACATGTCATGTGACTAAATCGTACATGCGATGTTGGCAGTACAAGTAGGATAGTGTTACTGTTAGGAGCCTGTAACTGCTCACAGCTATTATTTTTCACCTACGTGTTGTGTCTTTATTTATAGAGAAATACTACACACTTTTTTGTTTCTCCTTTACGCACACCTTTTTACCCACAGATAAAGAATTAAAAGCTAAAGGAAGCAAGGTCATTAGGGGAATACCTTAAATGTCGGACTGTGTCTTTGGACTCTTTTATACTTAGAGAGAAACTATAGTGCCAGGAAAACAAAGTTGCCCCCCTAACTCGTTGGATGTCCCTCAGTGCTGGCTTGGTCCCCGCCTTCGCTCCTTCCCCGTTGACATCAGCCAACAGGGGAGACCTAAAACGCTGCGCTCACATTAACACTACCCCATAGGAAAACATAGTGGTTTCCCATAGGGATTTGGATAGCGCTGTATGTCCACATGCATAGCGGAAGGATGTCCAGCATCAGTTAGGCGACCAAAAGTTGCCTAAGCACTCGGAAGTCCCTCTAGTGGCTGTGTGGTAGACAGCCACTAGAGATGGAGTTAACCCTAGCAGGTTATAAAAAATGGCAATAATTACTATTACATGGTTAAGGGACCTGGGACAGTGCACCCAGACCACTTCAATGAGCTGGGGTGCTCTGGGTTCCTGAAGTGTCTCTTTAATATATTTTTTCTATTATCTGACACAACCTGTTTTTTCTTTGTACATTGGTTTCTATTCTTCAAGGGTTTGAGGCAATTTCCTGCGTTCAGTGTTTGGTGCTAAAATTAAGCAGTTGGTTGAAATATTATCTCTTGTCCATCTTTGTGTATATTTCTCTTTTTTTTCTATTGTGTATATCTCTACAACATTTTGTCACACATCACAGTTATAGTCCTTGGTCCTACCCATTGTAATGAATGACTAAGGAAATTTGGCCTGTTTGTTATACACGCCACATGTATATGTATGTGTGTGTGTGTGTATGTTGGCACACATGTATGTGTGTGTGTGTGTATATTGGCACACACGCACACACACACACACATACACTGTGTGTGAGGGTGCTGTGTGTGGGTGCTGTGTGTGTGTGTGCTGTGTGTGTGTGCCAACGTCAATGTACCTGCCAAAGATGGGGTACATTGATGTTGTGGCAGGCTTATGCAATGTATGATCATATAATGTAACTAAACCCCCATTATTTTTTGCCTAGATTAGGTGTTTTTAATAAAAATAGCGAAATCTGTCAGCACCAAATAAGTTGTTTAGTAGATAAGGGAGTGCGCTGGATTTTCATTTTTACTGTACTTATTGGCCCCCAGCAGCACCGCATTTAAGCATGTTCAGGTGAGTGCAGCCAGCCACTTGTTAACCCATATATATATTTAGGAGTCTAGCCAGCTCCTTGGTTTTGCACCCCTCCCTGTCACAGGTGTCTCATCCCAGGACCCTATTTAGCCTTGTACTGCAGAGAACTTGAGATGGAAGGATTTCCCCAAGTGAGTAGCTCATTTAGTAGACAGTTGGTCTTTTATGTTGGACTGGCATAGTTTACACAAGTCCTTCTTTTTGTGGTTTTCTAATAGCAGGTTTAGGTTGTTTACACTTTGCTAATGTTCGTTTGCGCTCTCTCTTGGTCCCTTTGAAATATATCACACTATGAGAGTGTAAGCAGGAACTATATCTATCTTTTAAGATAAACCTTTTTTGGGATGATTTACGTGGGAACATTACCTCATCTACAACATTTTTCCATAGTCTTGTAGTCTAAATCACCATTTACAGACAGAAAAGTAGCAGGCGTACAAAGTAACAATAAATATAGAAACTATGGTTAGCATGAAAATTTGATAGAAATGTAAATATAAGATAAATGCATATCCTACCTGAAATTAAAATTCATGAAAATACAAAACTGGAAACCATTTACTAACTATGAAACATTGAAAGTCAGAACTGATTGACAGAAAAGCCTAGCTATTTCATGGCTCAGGAGGAATAAGCTATTAAATATCACATTCTTCCAAGAATAATATACTTTCTGGCTATGATTTTTTTTTTTTTAGCAATCTGTGTAATTACAAACGTGACCTAGAGTAATCTCAAAGTAAATATATGGCAGGAAAGAAACCAAAAAAGCCAGATAAGTGAAGAAGGCTTGACAGTCACCCTTGCTTGTAAAATCTCATGATAGTCTAATTAATAGCACTCTATGATGAATTGAGCAGGATATTGATCAGGGTATGGATGAGATATACTTGGATTTTACTAAGGCATTTAATACAGTTTCAAAGAAAGCTTATTGTAAAAACAAACGATTCAGAATGATAAAATATCTCGTTCTTGGATAGAACATTGGTTTACAGATAGACATGATATGGAGTCAAGAATGAACTTTTTCCCTTTCTGGTACAATTGCCGATCATTCCAGATAGGGTCTGCAACTCCTTTTGGATCAAAAGCATAAAAATATGTGAAACGTTAAACGTTAAAGATTTCCGAGTAATAATGGAACTATGCGTTCACTTTTTACTGGGGCTGAAATCTAGCACAAATGCTTTATTCAATAACCAGTAGATTGTGGTGAAATAATGACTTGCTTGTAAATTTAAAGGACCACTATAGTGCCAGGAAAACATACTCGTTTTCCTGGCACTATAGTGCCCTGAGGGTGCCCCCACCCTCAGGGTCCCACTCCCGCCGGGCTCTGGGGGGAGGAAGAGGTTAAACTTACCTCTTTCTCCAGTGCCGGGCTGGGAGCTCTCCTCCTTCTCTCCGCCTCCTCTCCGCCTCCTCAGCTAAATGCGCATGCGCGGCAGGAGCTGCGCGCGCATTCAGCCAGTCCATAGGAAAGCATTCATAATGCTTTCCTATGGGCGCTGGCGTCTTCTCACTGTGAAAATAACAGTGAGAAGCGCGGAAGCCCTCTAGCGGCTGTCAATGAGACAGCCACTAGAGGCTCTAGAGGCTGGATTAACCCATTTATAAAGATAGCAGTTTCTCTGAAACTGCTATGTTTATAGAAAAAAGGGTTAAACCTAGCTGGACCTGTCACCCAGACCACTTCATTAAGCTGAAGTGGTCTGGGTGCCTATAGTGGTCCTTTAAGAGGTATTTTCCCATCTTTTCCCATGGACACATAAAGCTGAAATGCTTTCTGTAACAAGTGTATCTAAATCAGGCATGTCAAACTCCAGTTTGTTGTAAAGTGTATCTAAATCAGGCATGTCAAACTCCAGTTTGTTGTAAAGTGTATCTAAATCAGGCATGTCAAACTCCAGTCCCCCAGAAGTTGAACTACAACTACCATGATTGACTGGCCATTTATTCCATTCAAGCAACTCTATTCACTAAAGTGAGAATTGTCGGCAATACAAAGAGAATTAAAATGTTAAGACCAAAATAGCTGCACTTAAAACATGTTCAAAATCAGCTAGGTTTCCAGTTTGAATTTCAATTCATAACAGATTTCAGCAATTCCCATTTAAGTAAATAACCCTGAAAGTGTTTGATAAGGCTACTCTATTTTATGGAAGACACATTTCTTTATGTTGCAGCCATGTTCTGTATTCAGATGAGGTCCGGGCCACATCCTCAGGCGCTTGGGGAGCAACAAACTCAGACGGACATGAAGAAGGCTGAATAAGGACTCCAATTTATTATATATATTTGCAAACAGAAAGTTCCAGAATAAAAGAAGTGTGCATAACTAAACAATTATGGGTGTGTATGAATAAGTAAGTAATAAGGTTAGTAATAAGATGTTTTATACAATTATATTACAGAAAAAGATTTATTATCATAATGAGGCGAATTGCCTTTTCTACGTCAGAATGAGGGAATTTGCTCTATTAGTGCTTTCGAACCAACTGGCCAACGGTGTAGAATTACACTATTGTGCCAGATAACTTTTTTATACAAGTAACTTCATTGCATGTTTGATAAAAGTATTCTATATCTCTCTATATTCTATATGTCTTATAGGCAACCTTCAGGACTCCAGATGTTTTGCACTAGTGATGCTTTGCCAGCATTATGTGTGTAAGAGCATTATGGGGGATGTAGTCCACAACATCTGGATTGCCGATGGTTGCCTATCCCTCTAAATATTTTAATTTTCAACATAAATATAAAACTTGCAGGTCTGACAAAGAGTTGACTGTGGAATTAGTTGTAAATTACAAATCTGAATAACAATTTTAAACAAAAATGTTAATTGTAATGACCAAAAAAAAAGAAAAATCTGTAATCTACATAGTCATAAAGACTGCTAAACTGATACAACGATTTTACTCAAATACCAGTCTTAAGAGAGATTTTAAAATAAGCAGTTATTGTAAATAAAGACCTTTAATAAAGATAATCATTATGACAATATTACTTTCAGGAAGTTATAATTTTTTAAGGCATCTGACTGTGATACATTCTTACAGGTGGCTGGAATATGTGAACATTAAAGGGACACTCCATTGCTCAAATACAAAATAAATACAAATCACTGTTTAGTAGATATACCCTAAATTAAAATGTGCATGCATTTAATATGTATTTTTTCATTGACGGTGAAACCTGAAGTTCTCTTGTCTGCTGCCTTTTCAAACCCCGCCCAGACTTTTTGTGGCTGTCCAATCACAGACTTCCCCAAGCAGCTCAATGAGAAGTCTTTGCAAGGCAGGTGCTCTGAGCAATTGCTGCCTCTTGAACTTAGCTCCACTGAGCTAACTATACCAGGAAGTAACAAGACATGTCTGATTGGAAGCCAAGGGGGTGTAACCAGGTTCATTTATAAAAGTGTCAATTTCTATTGAAATAAAGGGGATACACTCTTCGCACATAAGACTTTTTAGCGAACTAAATTGCTTTAAGGGGTCTGGAGTCTCCCTTTAAATAAATGTTACTTTTTAATGTGTGAGCTTTTCCCCAGTGTTCCCTCATTGCTGATGTAAGACACAATGCTTTCTAGAATAATAGCTGCTGCAGAGTTAGGGTACAATAGGGGAGATTTATAAATGTGTCACCGACACTTTTCTGCCTAAACTATGGTAAATATTTGGTGCAATTTATGAAACCTATCAATTCTTTTTTTATCTATTGCTTTTTTTTTGTACCCTAACCATAATTTTTGAATACATGCCATTTTGTTCAGCAACACAACAGATTTATGAATAACTTTTTCTGACATAAATGAATTTTGTTTCAATTCTTTTCCTCTAAATTCAGTGATATCTGAATTGGAAATTTCTGCAGAGTCAGGTGTAATTTCATATAAACAAAACATTCATTTTTAAAAAAAAAATTTTTTCGGAAATATGTTCAAACTCAGATGGAATTTAACCATCAGTTTTCAGAACACTTTGATAAATATCCTCCTCTGTATCATTATGGCATATTCCTGATCACATGGCAAAAGAGAACGAGTCATTGTGAAGCATTTGAAATCAGTGTATATGACAGCACATGTTCACATTGATGTAGATACCCCTTAGAATAATATTGGTGGTATCTACCACTTGGTATTTGTCCTTTAAATAAACCCAAATATACTAGATTTCTATAGATTTAAATAAGAAAGCTACAATCACAACACATTTGTCTAACTTTTTTTTGTGACAGGTAAACTTTGTATATTGATTATAACTGTTGTTTATTTATGGACTATTACTGAAAAGGTTTATGATTATTGAATTATTGAAAGCCACATATTAAATAATAAAAAATGATTGCAAGAAAAACAACCGAATAACATAGAGTTCAAAGGAAAAAAGGATCCAAAGGTAATTCTTATCTGCTCATAAACTTCACAGAGTACAATGTATATTTCCTGTAGTTCTCTATTATAGATAAAGTATTTCTGCATTTAATTCTGCATTTAAACGGCTGATGTGCAATGGTGTACAAGGCAGGCGGTGTACAGTGTCTAGATTGGAGTGTTTTTAGGGGATTGGCAAGCAACATTTATACCTGTTCTAGAATTAATTATCTGGGGAAGGATAGTTGGATGATCCCTGGTCCAAATTATATTAACCCCTTAAGGACACAACTTCGTCATGTGTGCTTAAGGGGTTAAATATATACACACGCACACATAACGTTTACCTGGTAAAGTCATATACAGCTTCCTGTAAACAGAGCAGCAATCTGTTAACGCTGCTATTTCATTTAAAATATAAATAATACAAAATTAAATAACTAATTGTAGAATATATAATCCGAAACACTCAACATATATATTCTAAGAAAAAAATAATAATGTGGTACTCCATGGTTGCTGTTTAAATGATATGCCTGACAGAGAATCATAAAAAATGCACCAACAAAATAAATACAAATTTAAAAAAACAAAAAAAACATACCTTTCATTGCAAATTCTAAATTCTGATTGCAGTCAGAGCTATTTCTTGTAGTCATAAGTGCATATTTCCCAAACTTTCAAATGGACAAAGAGAGACTTACTAATAACAACTTATGTAACAAATGTAAAAGAAGAACAATGTCTCGTATTTACAGACACCGATTTCTAAACATATTTATTGTAGTTTAACGATACAGTACTGTGAGTATTATTGCTGTGGAGTTTGTTGTATAAATTCAGACACACCAATAATGCAGAGCTCCTAGAAAAGAGGGATATTAGAATAGAGAAGAGGGAGAGAGGGACTTTGGTCTCTAAATGGGGACTTTCCCTTCTAAAGAGGGACACTTGGGAGTCATGTAACCTCTTAGCTGCTAACCTCACTTAAAGAAACACTATAGCACTAGGAATACAAATCTGTATTACAAACGCTATAGTTCCTACCTCAGGTGCAATAAAAATTTATAAATTAATGTTTGATTTACAGCACTGAGGCTCCCTCATCTCTGCTTATCGCTCCTCCCCTAACAAACATGGCTACCGCCACGATGATTCATGATTTGAATGCGCGTGTGTGGAGTGTGCATGCAAAACTTTAATTGAATCCATGCTTTCCTATAGGAACATCCATGTCACATGACCAAACTTCGCTAAATCAGTGCCCCAGAAAAGCCTCTAATGGCTGTGATACTCTAGAGGTGGATTTAACCCTGCAATGTACAACATTGCAGCTTCTCAAAAATATCACATTACAGGGTTTAGAGGACAGGGACACTGCATTTAGACCACTTCATTGAAATTAAATTTTGTGTGAGTAAAGTGGATGCTGTGTGCTTGTAGTAGATGAAGTGTGTGTGTGTTTTGCATGCACACTCCACCCACGCGCATTCAAATCATGAATCATCGTGGCGGTAGCCATGTTTGTTAGGGGAGGAGCGATAAGCAGAGATGAGGGAGCCTCAGTGCTGTAAATAGGTAAATGGAAGGTGTATGTAGTTGGTGCAGTGTGTGTGTGTACAGGGTGATGTGTGTGTCTACTGGATGGTGTGTGTGTGTAAAGTGTTTGTGTAGTAAATGCAGTGTGTATGTGTGTATAATCATTGTTGTGTGTGTAGTAGATGGAGTCTATAGTCTAAAGTGGAATGCAGTGTATTTGTGTGGTGGATGCAGTGTGTGTATACATTTCTAGAGTAGGATAGGATAAGATTTTTTTTTTTTTTTTTATTCCCACTTCCCTGATTCTTACGTATGGCTGGGAGGGGGTCACTAGATTCCCTGGTGGTCCGTGGCACACTGCAGGCTTCTACTTGTTTCTATAATGAAGACGAAAGCCCAGACGCCATGTTACACCTCCACCAAATAGCAGAAGAGCAGATAGCCAGCGCTTGGAAGTGGACACTGCCAGAGATGGATTCTGGAGGTGGATGCTGGGCCCCTTCTTCATTATTCTACACAGTAGTGGCCCAGTATATAAATCTACACACACATTGGGGGAATGCTGCCTGTACCCCTCTCCTCCACCTAGACAGGCTTGGCTATAGTGTTCCTTTAACATAGCTCTGTTTCATGGGCCGATTGCTTTGATTTCAGTTTTCACAGGTGAAGCCTATTTAATTACGCGACTCCAGGGAACAAACAAAGGACATGGACCAATGGACAACTGTTATCAAGAAGTGTAACACCCACCAACGGGTTCCTGCTTTGCACACAAGGAATTAGTTATGTTTAGTGCTCCATGTAACTTTGTCACTCACTCTGGAATTTCAAAACATAATCTACCTTCTGAAATAACTGCATGTATGGAGTCACACCATTTTCTTTTAGGGTAAGGTATCATTTCCTTTATAATTATCTTTCTCATAAGTAGTGATTGTGATACCCTTGTTTAACTGGTATTTGCTTCTAATGAGAGTTACCAGAAAATAACAGCATGCATGTCAATATTAAGGTTTTAAATAATCCAACACTACTTCACACAAAACAATCACTGATTCAAAAATCACAGGAATTCCATTCTTTAGGGCAGTCATAACCAGCAAGTTGCTCACTTTTTCTATTTTTGGGTCTACAGGTTTTTTGTTTACCAAACAATAATGGAAGTTTTAGTTTTTCAACTTCAGAGTTACCGGTTAGTGCTGCTTCAGGGATTTTGAAAGACCCAGTTCAGTGCTAAGGAGGTCTATAAAGTCGGGTTTCAGACTACATTATTATATAATATAGTATGCTTATTATATAATTAGTATGCTTATCTAACAATGGCAAACAGAGACTGGGCTTTGCACCTTAGTAAGCAGCAGGCCTCCCAGCCGTGATTTCAGCAGGACAGTCCTGATTTTCATGTCCTGTCCAGCTGTCCAAACTTTGTTTCCTGGTGTCCCCAAAAAGTGTAGCATGAGTGCATTATTAGACACACTTGCTCTGCACTTAGAGCATTGAAACAGTGCTCTTTGCAAGTCCTGCATTCAGTGAACTAGCTGGTTTGATTGGCAGGCAGGCTGATGTGCCAATAATTTGAGTGGACCTACCTCATTGGGCAGAGTCAGTGATGCAACCCTGTCACTGGCTTACCCACTTTACCAACTGCCACCAGCATCCTGCTTCTCAGTATGAAGCATGTTTTGAAGATTTAAAAACAGAATAGGTGTGTTTCGATTAAGTTAATACTCATAGTACCTGGTGACTAGCTGTCCCCACTCAAGGCAGATGAGGGCTACTAAAGCCCTCTATCCTAGAGCCCTGACATTTATTACAGCACAATCACACCCTATGATGCCCCCTTATTGCACTTGTAGGGTGGGCAGTTATTTTATGTCACTGCATGTGCAACACCATGGAGCCAACCTGGGAGAATCCTGATAGAACCGGGACTTTTGGGAAATATGATAAACTGACCCTATTAAACCAGGCATTTATAGGGATGCACAACAAGTACAATGGTTGAAAAAGGAGTAATGTTGTCTATCTTGGGTCAAAAGAGAAACATCAGAACTAAGCTGAACATTAAGGGTATATATTTATTGTAGTTTACTTTGCTTTGAGTTCAAGGTGTTTTACAAAGTGATGTAGAGTCACATAAATTCTAAAAACAAATAAGGCTCTAGTACATTTGTCTAAATAGAAAATGTATTTCTTTACTTGTTAAGTTTATGTATAAGGTGCATGCATTGACCAAAGTAATGCAAGGCCAATAGTCATTTTGCTTATGGAAATATATTTAGGTGATCAATGATTTTTGATTTATTTTCCCAATTTACAACTGTGATGGTCATTCTTCATTCTTTCATTCTTGGCTGAGCATCATTCCAGTATCGCAGAAATTACTCTTTTGGATTCCGAAATAATTTAGTGTTGGAAATTAAATATGTATATAATATTTAACCAGACAAGCACATACTTAGAAAAAGTTTTTTTAACTTTTCTTTTGTTTAATATCTTATTAGCCTTAAGATACTGTTTAACTAGTAAGACAAGCATTCCATGATTTGTTATCAATCTACAGATATATTAAAACAATTCATGCTGTTCTGCAATAATGTAATTGTGTTAATAAAGCAGGGAGAACAGTAATGGGTCAAATAGTAAACTTTTTTTTTTTTTTTTAATATGTCTACTGTCATAAAATAAATAGAAAATAAAATGTTTTACTTTTGTCAGAAGCTCTGCTCTTCCCATCAAAGATCCTACAAGTAATGTGGTCATGAATCTTGACATTTATTGTGATTTAGCAACATGTTTGGGCCAAATCTACAATCCTATGAACTATATAATTATTATTACAGTTCTGTATTACATTGCCTTGGGAAACGAAAAATCCAAGTTGGAGCCAGCCCTTCATTTGTGGGACCCACACTCTGAACATATGAAAGGCAGAATAAATAAAATGACAGTATATATGTTTTATGAAACCCCATAAACATCTGCTGTCAGTTAAAAGATAAAAATGAAACCCATATTGATCACACCCTCAGATTTGGTTTGAATATTCCGCAGTGACTGGTCAGATCAATGGATTCTGTCTACGATAGATACATATACACACACAAAGCCAGGTTTACATTGTTGAGTGCTGTACTATGCATTTCTCATATCTTTGGCACAAGAAGAGTTACTGCAAAGTACCATACTGCAAAGTACCAGACTTTCAGTAATGCTATCCCATTATAAATATGCCAGAATCAGAAAACTGCCATAAGAGTTCTGGAACAATTTCAAAGATGTCTAGAGATCAAATGTTGCAAGAATCATAAAAAAACAGCAATGGAAATGTGTAGTTGTTTTTTTGCTCTAACATTGCCGTCAGGCACATAAGTACGATGCGTTGCGGACTATAGAAGTCATTTTTAATGCCCTTGTTCTATGTTTTTTGGTTTTTTTTGTAGTGGATAACACTCATCAGGTATTTATAGCAAATCTAAGTAGCAGCAGCCTATACATTTTTCTTTAGCAAAGGGAGAGGTCCTGTTTTCAGCTGACCTAATTTGATTACCCATGTTTGACAGGTCACCAAAGAAAACAGATGAATTATTGTTTCAGAAAAAATAAAAAATTCTAGAATTTTTGTTTTTCTAAAAATATCTGTGAACTATGTACATTATATCATATTCGTTTTACTAACATCAAAATGCAGCAAATGTCGTAATAGAAAAGTGTTGAAATATTAAATTATTAAAACAAAGTTTCTAATAAATTGTTCAGCTTTACAAATAAATATAGACTAGCTGTGTCACTTACCAAAGTGAGAATTCAAAGTGAATTTTAAATAGGCCAGAGTATCCAATTTGAAAACATAGCTGAAAGAGAATGTTCCGAATTCAATTTACTGAGAACTTAAATTTTGAATTCACTTTGAATTATCAACTAGAATAATCCTGTAAATCTCCTTATCAGAAATGATATAAAACAAAAGAAAATGGCAAAAAAAAATTCTACTTTCTATAAAAGGACCACAATAGTGCAAGGAAAACATACTCATTTCCCTGGCACTATAGTGCCCTGAGGGCTCTGGGGAGAGGAAAGGGTTGAATCTTACCTTTTTTCCGGCGCCGGGCAGGGAGCTCTCCTCCTCCTCTCCGCCTCCGATCCTCCTCTTCGGCTAAATGCGCATGCGCGGCAGGAGCTGCGTGCGCATTCAGCCAGTCTCATAGGAAAGCATTTATATGGACGCTGACGTCTTCTCACTGTGATTTTCACAGTGAGAAGCACGCAAATGCCTCTAGCGGATGTCAATGAGACAGCCACTAGAGGCTTTAGAGGCTGGATTTCTCTGAAACTGCTATGTTTATTAAAAAAAAGGGTTAATCCTAGAGGGACCTGGCACCCAGACCACTTCATTAAGCTGAAGTGGTCTGGGTGCCTAGAGTGGTCCTTTAACGTCCCCCAAACTGCACCAGGTACCAGCAGCTATATATAAATGATTACCAATTGTGGATAAAATAAATTACCTTTTTTGATTTGTGTATTCCTCTGAATCTGCCATAATGATGCTTACATAAAAATTATGTTTCGACTACTTAATGTCATGTGACTTGCATGCAAAGAATCCATCTTTGTACCGAAGGGGATAAAGACAATACTGGACATTTCAAAAACAGGAGGGGCTTGGTAAATTGTGTCTTGACATCATATTTGAAATAAAGTAAAAAAATAAATCAATTAAAAAAATCAAAATCAAAATAAACAGTGTTCAGACAACAAAGTTTTACTTTATAAAATTATTTTAAATTAAAGAGAAATCGTTGTACATATTTTTAGGTAAAAAAAATTTAAACCGCATATCCAGATGAAATTCACTTTTATTCTATTTGTCCATTTTGGATTTAGGGATGCCTAATCTATAGAAAACTTCCTTTATGTAGCACAAAAAAAACCCCCCAAAAAACCTTAATGTTGAAAACTACTTTTAACCCCTTTAGGACACATGACACGTGTGACATGTCATGATTCCCTTTTATTCCAGAAGTTTGGTCCTTAAGGCGTTAAAGAAAAGTTTTATAAAAGCATGACAAAGGGTAATTCTGTCATATTCCACTAAATACCGGTTTCTTATAACTTGCCACCTCTGACTACCATCCACACTGAAGTAATTTCCATTCTAGCCAAAACACGTCTCTTCGAAAGCCAACATAAACCAGATATTTGCAGATCAAATCACGTTAATGTCATTTTAATATCAGGGCCATTTAAATGCCTCCAGTGGGTACTGCAATTCCTATGGTGCGGCATTTAAATAAATAGTAGTGCTTCAACCTTTTTTTTTTTTTTTATGAACAAACCAAGGCAACAAACCATTAGTGTTTGCAAAAAATGTAGTTCATCTAATAATTAAAAAAAAAAAAAAATTTAAATGGGCAACAGCTCACAAACATTTATTAGAACAAAACAGCATCGTTTTCTAAAAAGTACATATTTAACAATATTTTTTTTTTGGTCTCATAAAAGTGAATATTTTTTAAGACCAATAATGAATCATGTAAACAAAGTCTATAATTCAGGGAATAAAGAGTGCAAAATAAGCTTGCTATGAATTATAAACAAGATAGATATTCTAACTGCTGGAGTGTGGTGGGACTTTTTTGTGAACATGTAAGCAGAGATCTACATAAAGTGTGTTAAACAGGAATGCATTTTAGTGCCAGCTGGATGGATTTCGAAGGCATGTCAAAACATCCTAAAGTCCTCCATGTATATGCAAAAATCCTGCACTCCAGACATGAAACATTCCGTTCTAGTGACTCAGTTTACACTACTCTTCCTCCACTGTCTTCTGCAATCTTCTCAGACATAGATTAAAGACACACAGTGACAATTTTAACAATTGTACTTATGTTTTGTTGACTTTTATTTTTTTTTATTTTTTTTTTATTTTGCATTATTTGTATGCAATATTTAAATACCTTAGGCTAGTGGTCTTCCTACTTGGATTTTAAGAGATATCAGCACCCAAAATATGGTTAAAAAGTGAATGGAGTGACTTAAAATTATATCTATCATATCAATAAAATAAGAGCATAGATTGTTGGTGACAATAGCATGATACAAATATATCCCATATCTGCAGATCATTTTTGGGGGGTTTACATTTATTGACCCCAAACTGTCCAGTGGTCGTTTTCAATAAAAGAAATATGTATTTGTTATATAAAAAAAAAAAAAGTATAGAACTGCAAAAGCTGGTGCAATGTCTAAACCCCTAAAGACTTAGTCCACAGTAATAAATACACAAACTTCCAAAAAGGAATTCTTTCAAACCACTGAAAAGCTTGTGTGTGCCCCTTCATCGAAGAGGCTAAATAGGTTCTCCCCAAAATCGTAACCGATTTGTTTTTCCCATATCTTTTTATACCCCCCAACAAACTTTTAAAATAAAAAATCAGTAGTGTTTTTCTGCCTTTGATGCTTCAGCCAACGATCTTCTATCTTGTTAGCTGGCCAACCACTTTCAAAAGGGTCTTATTTTCCTGCTTTAACTGTTTGTTTTCATCTTCTATGTCATCCAAATCCTTTGGAACAAAATAGGAAATATCAGTCAGCAATGTGATTTGATTGTTTTGCCAAGTGAAACAAAAGCACAAAGTTTTGAATGGCAACTTGAACACTAGCTTAATATTCATAGACCTAGTTTGCATTCAATGTCACATAGAGGTCAGCAAGCCCATTGCTTTACCAGTTTATCCCAAACAAATACCACGCGATGCTTCCTATCAGATTATCCTGTGTTTCAATATGTACCCAAACACAACACATGACACTGTACACTCCAAAGCTGTTTTTGTTTGTTAAAATACTTATTAATCATTAAGTGCAAACAATGTTTTGTTAGGCAATTCTCACTTCTCTGGCATGTTGATCTGGACTTGAACAACCTTTGTTATTGGTCAGATGACACGGCCACTCACTTCATAAAGCCTCCACATTCTTTTTTAGAATGATGTGAAAATAAATATTCTTGCACATGCAACAACTGAGGAAAAAATATTTGGATCTAAGATGGCCACCTGGGGTTGAACACATCTGAACAGATACTAGAGCAAATTGGAAAAGATGCACATCTAGGTAACACGTTAATGTATGTCCTGGTAATTTAAATCTCCAATATTTGTGATAGAGGGACAAGTAATTCAGCAAGGGGAATCAAGTTTTTTAACCTGTTAAATGACACCTTCATGTCACAATTGGTAGAAGCACCAACTAGCAAGGATTATTGTCTGGATCAGGTTATAACAAACAATGTTGATCATTTGACAAACATTCAAGTAAGGGAGCACTTGGGAAATAATGTTCATAAATATGGCATCTTGAAATAAGCACAAAAAAGCAAATGAACATGGGGTGTACTACAAACATATAAGTTTAAAAAGATCAATTTTAATAAGATAAGGGCAGCTTTACAACTTTACACTAAACTCTTTAGTGGCAAAACACAGAGGATATCTGCCCCTTTTTGTGGTCTTTATTAACTATTATTCCACAGTATTTATTAAGGAAGAACCCGTGGAAAGAGATATGTAAAGGGTTGTTGCAACAAATTTGACTCAAGACAAGATGTTGCAGCAACTAAAGAAAGTTAATGTAAACAATGCCACTGGGCCTGATGGTATTCTTCCACAAGTACCTATTTAGCCAAAGGTGGAAATAAGTGAGCCTGTGTTTTTAATCTTTCAGGATAGTTTTCTTTCAGGAATTGTACAGGAGAATAAGACAGAGTACAGAGAGGTGTCATTAAAGCGGCACTGTCATGCCGAATCCCGTTTTTTTTTTAACCCCCCTCCCGCCTCCACTACATCCAATTGACCCACTAGTCACCCCCAAATGCCCCTAAGCCCCCCACATTACCTATTTTTAATCCTTATTTTCTGCCCCGATCTTGATTCAGGGCGCCGCCATCTTTGTGTGGGTAGATGAAGTCCCTGTGGGACACGTCATCAGCCCACACTAGGCAGACACTGAGATTCCCGCACATGCCCAGTGAAACACCTGGACATGCGAACGGGAATTTCATCTATTCATTCACTCATCAGACAGACGAATGAGTGAATAGAAAGATCAGCCGAACAAACAAACACAATGTATCAGTGTTTGTTTGTTCGTTTAGTTTATTACAAGGAGGGAGCTACCGGCATGCAGCTCCCTCCTTGTAATATGTAACTATAGAAGCGGCAGAGAGCAGTGCTCCCAACCACTTCATAAGCCCCCCAGTACCCCCTCTCACTCTATGGGGGTCAATATGACCCCCATAATAGCACAAGGGAGATTAAAATCTCCCAAATGCCCCTACTCGCTATACCGCGAGTAGGGGCATGTCTACTAAACAGTGAGCAGCCTATGGCTGCTCACTGTTGAAAAAAAAGACATAAATTACAATAAGGGGGGGCGGACCTATTGTCCTCCCCCCCTCCCCCACCCTGAGCGGCGGGTGGGGGCCATGAAGATAATGAGGGGGGGGGGACCTACTGTCCTCCCCCCCGGCCCCCACCCCTGAGCGGTGGGTGGGGGTCCTAATAAAACAATAAGGGGGGGAACCTACTGTCCTCCCCCCCTGGCCCCCACCCCTGCGCGGTGGGTGGGGGCCCCAGTAAAACAATAGGGGGGGGACCTACTGTCCTCCCCCCCGGCCCCCACCCCTGAGCGGTGGGTGGGGGCCCCAATAAAACAATAAGGGGGGGGGACCTACTGTCCTCCCCCCCCTGGCTCCCACCCCTGAGCGGTGGGTGGGGGCCCTAATAAAACAATAAGGGGGGGGACCTACTGTCCTCCCCCCCGGCCCCCACCCCTGAGCGGTGGGTGGGGGCCCTAAATAAAGATATGGGGGGGGAACTTCTGGCCCCCACCCCTGCACGGTGGGTGGGGGGCCCTAATAAAACAATAAGGGGGGGGACCTACTGTCCTCCCCCCCTGGCCCCCACCCCTGCG